AGAGAAGCTAATGTCCCTAACCTGATGTGCACGACAGACCAGGTCCATATCATGCTTCATCAAAAAATCTGACACCGCATCTGCCCAAAAGTGTATGAGACTCCTCGGTCATTCATTCCCCAGCCCTTACATCTGTCCAGGATCTGACCAAAGTAAATCACAAAGTAAACCAGAATCTGGAACATCAGTGGGACGGGGTAACTTCCTAATTGATCCAAATTTGTTAAATCAGGGGAAAGGCCACCATGCATGCACAATATCTTGTCATCGATTAGAGCAGCTACAGGAAGGCAGTTAAAACAATCAGTAAATACTTTCCATGTCTCACATGAATCGGCGTTTGCATTCATCATAAAATCCATAAATCCGGTTGATAGAGGCCATTCATGATTTCCTCTTAAAAAAGAAGTTCTCGGGTATTTGATTTTATATGCAGCAAAAGGCATATTGTTTCCAACTCTGCTTGCCACGGTAAATAGTCCCCAAGGAATATAATTAGCCTTAGGAGGGAAACCCCCGTATTCAAAAAGCCTCAAAATCGAATACTGCCCATAATATCTCCTGGAAATTCAGAAAAAGAAGCCAAAAGCACAAAGGTTATAAGACTCAACTTTATGGCAACAGATACAATATAAATAAGAATGATTGAAGATTTCATAGACATATATGCAACAAAAGAGACAACCAAAACAGAAATCCAGTTAAGGATCATAATAGAACCCAGTCAAACTCTTAGTCAAACAAAGATTTTGAAAAATGAAATTGCACCAATTCCTACTTTAAAACCAAACACAAACTGCACTAAAAAATGTAGAGATAATAGGCTTCTAAAATCGAAATTTACATAACAATAGGTAAAATCTTAACCAGTAATCTAAGCTTCATACTGCGCGAATCCTTTAACGTTGTCTGCACTTAATTTCACATAACAGTGAGGTGAGATATCAATATTGATTCAACTCTCAAGAGTTCCTATTTGTTTGACCAAATACAACTAGCCATATAACCCATAGTTATTTGTTTCACCTCCTGCTATGTTGCAAGAGCAATTTAGGCACACAATTGAGGTTACTCTGGCCTTCTGTAGATATATTACAATGTGAATCCTACAAGCAGCAATACTGTATTGGCAACTTCCCTGTGTAAATGGAAGCAAACAAGAAACAGATTATTTCCCCTTAATGCCCTTTTTCCCTCCTGCAGTGCCGTTTTCGTGTTATGCTCTCCAAATCTCTCATATTTAAGATTTGAAATCAATAGGTTACCACCATCCATTACCAAAAAGACACTGAAAGTGAGGCAAAGCCAATGCTAAAGCACACCAGAATGAATTTCAACGAATAGATCAATGTCCAAACAGTCAGAGACTAATAATTGTTAAAGATAACAAGGTGGAATTATAGTATATTCACCTTCTCTAGATATCAAACATGAGAGAACTTAACTGAAAACAGTTCACACCATAACAGAAACTTCAATACAAAGATATTGACAAATATACAGCAATAACTTCTACAACTAATCCAGTTCAAGCCAAACATCACATTAATCTCCAAAAACCAAGTTCAGACAAGCTCTATATTACTACATCAGCCTCAATGTGGCCTTTAGCACCGACATGCTCAACACCATCCACTTATCCCCCTTGTTCCTTTTAACATTTCGGGATGAGTATTACAGGCTATAGAAAGGTTTCAATCCATTGTAACACAAATCAAAATACACAAAACTCAATGAGCTACGGAAACCAAAAATCATATCTTTTTAAAATCCCTCAGAACTCTTTTGTGTTTCCTTTACCTTCATTTTAAAACCCAATTTTTCTTCTCAGCCACAAACTTTCCTACTAAATTTCCACTAAATCAAACCCAAACACAAAAACAACATCAACGGCACTAAAAGAGAGACCTTTACCGTATCATTTAAAAGCACAGGTTATAAGTAAAAAAAAAAAATCACAACTTTATTACTGTTCTTATCTCATATCACTAATTTAACCTCCAAACAGAAAAGGGGGGTAAAAACGACGGCGTACCGCAGATCTTGATGGGTGCAGCGAGTTCAAGAAGTTAGTTGTGTGAAGGAAATTTCTCTGGAGACCGTACAGAGTTGGCGGATCTCGGACTCACTGAGTTGAACTTGTTTGCCAGGTCTCCCGTTCTTGAAATCCAATAAACGACTAATGATATCGTCCAAAACGGCAGGGTCCATACTTCCCTCGCCATTTTTACTCCTTTCTACAGCAACAATTAATCTTAAACAACAACAGGAGAACAAAGAAACGCAAGCCAACAGAATCTGAAGAGCCCTCTACTTTTAAGAATGAAGAAAAATATAAAAAATATTTTGATTTTATTGATAAAATAATAATAATTTAAACAAAAGAAAATGGAGGTGGGCAGAGAACACAGACACTGACTGCGGCTCCGATGTGGCGGAGGAGCCTAGTGGCTAATACAAAAATAATAATATCACTTGTTTCGTAAATACCCTTCTTATTCTACTTTATTACAATATTGTCCTACTTTATCCATAATCTTTACATTTCCAAAAGGGTTATCTCTTTTCGGACACTTATTTTAAAATTTTAAAATAAAAGACATAATTTTATTTATTAATAAATAGACACTTTTTATCACTCAAAGGTTTATGATAAAAATAGTTTTTTTTATTATGATAAGGTATCCATTTATTAATTAAATAATAAATTTGTATCTTTTTTCTCTATTTTTTAAATAGTATTCTTCGATTGATAATAACCTTCAAGAAATGCTAAAAATCTTCAAAAAAAATAATAAAAATTGACAATGTTGTATTAGTCCATGGAGAAAGATTATTTAACTTAAAAGGGAGGATTGGTTTGTTTTTGATGGTGTAGTTGTTTGAGATTGACATAATAAAATAGTTAATATGTTGTCAAAGTCTCCACACATGATTTCATAAGCCTCTTATGTTTGTTAACATATCTACTTTATAGATTTTGTAGGTCATCACACCTTGTACAATAGGTAACTTTATACTTTGTTTAATCATCAAAATTAATTTTTATTTTGTTATATTCATTCCAAACTCTCCACTCACCTACCACTAATATTAAAAAAATAAACTTATTCATAAATTTTAAACCCTACCCCCGAAGATCAAATTATGAGCGGAAAAGGGCAACGATACTATTGAATTCTTTTTCGTAGGTAAGCATACAGGATACCGAGACCACTCGCAAGACAATAATTGCGCTCGGGAAAAGATAAAGATAATGAGCAGTCGACAGTTCAATGCAAGAGCAAGAAGCTGTTAACCCACACCATCAAAACACCTCACATGGTTGTTGCACTCACTTGCAAGCAACCAGCCAATGAACCAAACCTTGATGACAATAGCCATCACAGCATGCAAAAGCATTGAACAAGGCCACCCCACACTAAGATGCAGAGAGAACATTAAAACCGAAGGACAACTGCCTAACCATGTAGGCTGTAACCCCACTTTGGGTACGTAGTTTGGTATGCTTATTTTTGTCTTGGTGTTGTTTTGGCCCTAAGTTAAATTGCTATGTTGTTATTTTGATTGGTTACCCTAGGGTAAGTTTGTAAGGAGTTAAGGTTGTTTGGATGCCCTGAATTTGGTAAAGCCTTGGAGAATTATGGAAGTGCAGACTTCGCCGGGGTGAAGAAGAAGCTTCGCTGCAACAACGTAGCTATAGTTTTTTTCCCGGGGCGAAGATTCGGTTGATTTTTCTAGTGAAATTTCTAGAGAATTTTCCTTAGGGGTGAAGTGACCATTCTACCCCTAATTAGCACGAAAAGTGAGAGGAAACGCGAAATTGCAAGGAGAATGCATGGAGTAAGGGTGGATGTGTGAAGATTAAGGGTAAGATGGAATTTTCAAAAAGTGCAAGGGCAAATGGGAAAGAGTGCTTATTTATATGAGCTAACAAGGGTTTAGCCTTAGAAACCCTCCCATTCTCTACACCCCTACAATTCTACTACTCTCCATTTCTCTCAATTCTTCACCATTTTGCTAGGGTCTGCTTGAGAGTTTTTTTTTCATTGGTTTTGGGAGGTTTTAATTAGACTGGTTTTTGGGTGTTTGAAAACCATTACTTGTTAGATTTTTTTGGATTGGTTTTGACTTGTTTAAAACCCCTACAAACCAGTGTATGTATTTTTGGGGGTTATAAAACACCCCAAACGGGTGTTTGGGCTGGTTTAAAATTTTATCCCAAAAAAACCCCTTTCCACAATTATTCATAACAATAATCCCTTTGCTGATTTAAAATTTCTTCAAACTCCATTCAATCTTCAACTTTAGATGACTTTACAATGCTTTTGAATCTTTTATCTTAGGCTTTCTAATCCTTCATTAAGATAGAAGGTTTGTCTTTCTTTCTTTCTTCATTTTCCCCTTCAATTTTTGTTCTTTTAATCTGGTAAACTCTCTGCAGACTGTATATGATTTAATTGCATTTCTTTACCAGTTGTTTTCACAAATTAGGTTTTTCCTCTATTTGCTTATTTCTTATTTGTGTTTAGGTGATTGATTGAATCATTGTTATTTGTTAAATAAAGATTGTTTTTATGGCTTCCTTCACTGATTGAAGAAAAGACAAAAAACTATTTTTAGAAATGCTGTTGCGGCTGTTATATTGATAATTTGCGAAGTCCAACATTGTGGCAACATATTTATTCTCTTAAATGACAGATTTCGAATGATTGTGTGAAATAAATAATATACATGAAGAACTTACAAATAAATTAAACTTGGAAGGAACTTTGATACTAAGTATCGGTAATGAAAAAAAAAAACTCCCAAATATTGATTGAAGTTGGGGGTATTTTTATGGACATATATGTAAATTTATCATTTTAAAAAACTGTCGACCGTTAGAAAATAAACTCCCAAGCACAGGTTGGGTGTTTTAAAAACGTTACTAAAACCCCTCAAATTGCTACGGTGGTTTACCCTCCAAACCTTATGATTATCATTCACTTTGATCACTGTCAAAACTAAGGTTTGACTATCTTATATTCCTAAAGTACTCAAACCAAATATGTTAAAACATAAGCTTACATGGTTTGAAACAAAAATTTGAACAGGTCCAGCTTCAGCAAAAAATCCCATCTGCAAAATTTCCAAACTCAGTTAAAATGAGGCACAAAAATTATCATTAAAAAAAAAAAAAAAAATCAACTTGACTGATTAATCGTACCTTGTTTACCATAGTAACGACAGCTTCTAAAATTTCTCCTTTAAAGGGTCTAAACACAACACACTGATATTTCACCGGAAACGTGACGAAACCCGTTCCGTCACGAATCCGCCCTTTCCCGATGTTGTCTACGCCCGTTATCGCCACCACAAATCCGTGACGGCCACTGGAGAGAAATGTCTCAAGGTGGTGTCGTATCAATTAGTGTTTCGTTATTGAATTTAGATAGTTTAAGAGTTTTGAATTAATTACCTGCAGGTGCCTTCAACATCTTTCATGAGCTTGGAGACGAGACGGTCGCGCAGTGTGCGACCGAAATGGCGTGGGTGAAGTTGCATGTTACGCTCCAATATTATATGGAAGAACATCTTTGATTTTCTCTGAAGAATGAAACTTGGTTGCGCTTCCACGTTATTATACGGAGAAGTTTGGACTAAAACGGTGAAGCTATATGCGTTTTGAGTTCCAAAATTGTTTGAGGCAAATACAAAACCTTCAGCTTTAGGATCTTGTTTATATATCATCATCAAATTGGCCGATGCCACACCCTTTTGTGATAGTGGATCATTAATACGAAAGTTTATGGAAATAGATATCATTCATGTAATTAAACTTGAATATCCTTTCTATGGAATCATGAGTGGTTAAATCTACAATTTTTTTCTCTTGCTACGTACACGATGAAAGATATAGTGAATCAATGATCATTTCAGTTTGGCCGTAATTCTTATTGTTTTGGTTGTGCTTTTCTCAAAACTTCACTCTTTTACAGGTTAAACAAAAAGAAAAGCATGGAATATTGGATAACTTCAGTACAATATATAATATTATTTCGTTGCTACTAATAGGCATAGGGTTTTAGACAGTCACTATGTTTCACCGAAGAAAAGGAGCGAGGACAAAGAGTTCTCGCAGTACTTCACATATTATTATTATTAGCAACAAGTACACATGCTATATAGAGTTGATTCATATACTCAAAGGGTAACTGACTGCGTGTAAGGTGGTTAGTAATTCCATGCACGCGGTGGTCTAGGGTATGGTGAAGATGGTGGTGGATTATATTGGGATGGTGGTGGATACGTTTGAGTTGGTGGTGGATACGTATGAGTTGGAGGTGGATATCTAGGAGAAGGTGGAGGGTACTGGGTTGGTGGTGGATAAGTTGCAGTGGGTGGTGATGGTGGAGGATAAGTTGTCGTGGGTGGTGATGGTGGTGGATACCTGGGAGATGGTGGCGGCGATTGGGGTGGTGGAGATTGGGAAGGTGGAGGATGCCCATGAGAGGGTGGTGGATATGTTGTAGTGGGCGGCGATGGTGGTGGATAAGTTGTAGTGGGTGGTGATGGTGGTGGATAAGTTGCAGTAGGTGGAGGATAAGTTGTTGTGGGTGGTGATGGTGGTGGATACATAGGAGATGGTGGTGGGGATTGGGGTGGTGGAGATTGGGAAGGTGGCGGATGCCCATGAGAGGGTGGTGGAGAGTGGGAAGGCGGAGGATGCCCATGAGAGGGTGGTGGAGAGTGGGAAGGAGGAGGATGCCCATGAGAGGCTGGTGGAGATTGGGAAGGTGGAGGATAACCATGAGAGGGTGGGGGATATTGAGTAGGTGGTGGAGATTGGGAAGGTGGAGGATAACCATGAGAGGGCGGTGGAGGGTATTGCAACGGTGGTGGATGGCCACGAGGGGGTGGAGGATGCTTGTGAGGTGGTGGATGTTTATGATGAGGTGGGTGTTTGTGAATTGGAGGTAAATGACCATAATGTTGTGGTGGAGGATGCCCGTAGATTGCTCCTTGTGTTGTTACATGTCTTCCATCACTATGAGGTTCATCTTCAAGGTATCCACTACCAAAAACTCTGGTAGTAGAGGCAACCACTACAAGCAAAACGTGAACAAATAAAGAAGTAAGCATCTTCATTTTTGCCTGTCTATGCTAACTTGTGAAGTTCATTAGGGTTCTGATGCAGTACTGAAAAAGGGTTCACAGTTAGATTATAAATAGGGCTTGAGCTTTTTGTCACTTACCAGTTACAAGCACATGAACATGAGCATGAACATGCACCTTGTGAATTAAGCACTAAAAACTGGAGTGACAAATGGGCTTGAGCACATGAACATGCAAAACTAATAGTTGCATCAGCTTCCACGTTAACCCTGTCGACTAAAGCTGTTATTGACTATCTAAGTATAGTAGATTTTGAATCTAGTGACGTGCCAAGTTTGACATTTCAAGAATGAACTTTTCTGAGAATAGTAGAGGTTTTGGATCTATAGCATGCCAATTTTGACATTTCAAGTGAACAGTGACGACAGGGCTATGACAAAGAGCTAAAGCTCTGACGGCAAGAGGAGGCAGCGGTGGTCAAGAGGTGGCTAATCAGTGTCATAAAATTTCATACGCATGAAATGAAATGCAAACTCAAATTCATTCAACTAGTAGTTTTGTCACTAGCAGCAAATTAGCAATACAATGCAAACAGCAATAGAGATGACAATACATGCTAATCCATTCAATCAAGACAGCACCATACCTCAAGAGTTTACAGCCAAAGCTAACTAGAGAAGTAGAGAGAAACCTTATATTGAAGAAGACAATCTTCCAACTGGGTCTTACATTCTACAAAGTGCAGTAATTTACAAAACATTATGAATATACACGGCCATTGAATTTCCGTGTGAAAACTTAATTGAAAAAAATGAATACCCTGCCCATTGATGCCGCCCTATGAAGAAGTTACCTCCACGTTGAAGTAGGAGAGCTCCTCTTTTGACGCAATAAATTTTAACAAATAACTCATCCCCTCAATGCTGAAAGAAGCATAATGATCTGCAACTTCCGACACTGAAGGAGCTATAAAACAGGTTTATCTTCAACTGATTTTTCCTTAACTCACAAATAGACTGCAAGGAATGTGTAACATTAGCAAAATCAGAAATCAGAACAGTCAGAATAAACCAATGAATGTTTAAAGAGTGAAGTTATAGAAAGCTCAAATACTTTTGGTATGGGTTCGAGTTTGTCATATAGAAGCAGCAAGAACTTTAACAAGATGGTGTAACTAATATATAGAAATTTTAACAACAATATAATAATATGTTCAAGAATCCAAATGGATGTTTGAAAATCCCACAAAACTAAGATGACTTCTCTTGGCTGCGCATATCATTGTCTTCACCATATCACAAAACTAGTATAGAGCAGAGAGATCATTAACCACAATCTTAAAATAATTTAATCATATAGATAGACACAATAAAGAGGAAACCACAAGATAGGCTTCATTCAAATACGACCAAGATAAAATTGAAAGAGATGGCCCATCTCTATCATTTGCTATTATTATAGGTAAAAGCATTAAAATTTGACCAACATATATGGGAAGGAGAATGGACTGAAAGTTACAGGGGCATGAGAAGTCTGCATCCTATGATGCTTGTGTTTACTCATGGAACATCAGATAGCAAGGCAGATGCCATAAATAAGGCAAGTAGTATTTGTGGAAGGAAAACACAATTCCAGCAAATTCTGTGCCGTCAATTCAGATGAACTGGCAGGTTGAGAAGCTCATGTGAAGTTCATCTCAATTAATTAAATCACTGTTACTCTGAACTCAAACTTATTCTAGTTTAATATTCCAATTTATTTTAAGGCTCTAGACCAAAAAATGGTGATATAAACATATATCAGCAAAGATTCACATGATTACTAGCACATTTGAATTCTACCAATAAGACTGACAACTGCATGCACCATTACACTTAGGAAACTACTTCAAGATTTCAGCACTAGAAAGCAATTTCCTCGTTTATATTTAAAGATCACATTAACAAATTTTATTTAGCAAAAGAAGCAATGTGAAACTCACATTAGCAATTCTAACCAGTAATTTGAACAGCAATCACCAGATTTTTTCATGAGAACCTTGGCTTTTTATCTGTAGGCTTAAGGATTTGGAAAGAGCACATTAAGCTTTCATCAACACTCATCATTGCACCAGCATTATCAAATTCACCGCAATAGTTGGGAGCAGAAAATATTGTGACGAGCTGTCTATCAGCAAAGAACTCATACCCATCCTCAACAACCTGGAAGAATAAGCATCAAGGTAAGCTACTTGCCTCAAGAACACGGGGCGAGAGAGAGAGAGAGAGAAAGAGAGAGAGAGAGAGAGAAGCTAATGTCCCTAACCTGATGTGCACGACAGACCAGGTCCATATCATGCTTCATCAAAAAATCTGACACCGCATCTGGCCCAAAAGTGTATGAGACTCCCCGGTCATTCATTCCCCAGCCCTTGACATCTTGTCCAGGATCTGACCAAAGTAAATCACAAAGTAAACCAGAATCTGGAACATCAGTTGGACGGGGTAACTTCCTAATCTGATCCAAATTTGTTAAATCAGGGGAAAGGCCACCATGCATGCACAATATCTTGTCATCGATTAGAGCAGCTACAGGAAGGCAGTTAAAACAATCAGTAAATACTTTCCATAGTCTCACATTGAATCGGCGTTTGCATTCATCATAAAATCCATAAATCCGGTTGATAGAGGCGCATTCATGATTTCCTCTTAAAAGAAAGAAGTTCTCGGGGTATTTGATTTTATATGCAAGCAAAAGGCATATTGTTTCCAAACTCTGCTTGCCACGGTCAACATAGTCCCCAAGGAATAAATAATTAGCCTTAGGAGGGAAACCCCCGTATTCAAAAAGCCTCAAAAGATCCGAATACTGCCCATGAATATCTCCTGGAAATTCAGAAAAAGAAAGCCAAAAGCACAAAGGTTAATGAGACTCAACTTTAGTGGCAACAGATACAATATAAATAAGAATGATTGAAGAATTTCATAGTACATATATGCAAACAAAAGAGACAACCAAAACAGAAATCCAGTTAAAGGATCATAATAGAACCCAGTCAAACTCTTAGTCAAAACAAAGATTTTGAAAAATGAAATTGCACCAATTCCTACTTTAAAAACCAAACACAAACTGCACTAAAAAATGTAGAGATAATAGGCTTCTAAAATCGAAATTTACATAACAATAGGTAAAATCTTAACCAGTAATCTAAGCTTCATACTGCTCGAATCCTTTAACGTTGTCTGTCACTTAATTTCACATAACAGTGAGGTGAGATATCAAAATTTGATTCAACTCTCAAGAGTTCCTATTTGTTTGACCAAATACAACTAGCCATATAAGATATAACCCATAGTTATTTGTTTCACCTGCTCTGCTATGTTGCAAGAGCAATTTAGGCACACAATTGAGGTTACTCTGGCATTCTGTAGATGAATATTACAATGTGAATCCTACAAGCAGCAATACTGTAGTGGCACCACTTCCCTAATGTAAATGGAAGCAAACAAGAAACAGATTATTTCCCCTTAATGCCCTTTTTCCCTCAATACAGTTGCCGGTTTCGTGTTATGCTCTCCAAATCTCTCATATTTAAGATTTGAAATCAATAGGTTACCACCATCCATTACCAAAAAGAGACACTGAAAGTGAGGCAAAGCCAATAGCTAAAGCACACCAGAATGAATTTCAACGAATAGATCAATGTCAAACAGTCAGAGACTAATAATTGTTAAAGATAACAAGGTGGAATTAATAGTATATTCACCTTCTCTTAGATATCAAACATGAGAGAACTTAACTGAAAACAGTTCACACCATAACAGAAACTTCAATACAAAGATATTGACAAATATACAGCAATAACTTCTACAACTAATCCAGTTCAAGCACAAACATCACATTAAATATCCAAAAACCAAGTTCAGACAAGCTCTATATTACTACATCAGCCTCAATGAAGGCCTTTAGCACCGACATGCTCAAACCCATCCACTTATCCCCCCTTGTTCCTTTTAACATTTCGGGATGAGTATTACAAGGCTATAGAAAGGTTTCAATCCCATTGTAACACAAAATCAAAATACACAAAACTCAAATGAGCTACGGAAACCAAAAATCATATCTTTTTAAAATCCCTCAATGCACTCTTTTGTGTTTATCCTTTACCTTCATTTTAAAAACCCAATTTTTCTTCTCAAAAGCCACAAACTTTCCTACTAAATTTCCACTAAATCAAACCCAAACACAAAAACAACATCAACGGCACTAAAAGAGAGACCTTTACCGTATCATTTAAAAGCTACAGGTTATAAGTAAAAAAAAAAAAAATCACAACTTTATTACTGTTCTTATCTCATTTAGTGATTAAATTGGAAGTTTGTCTTTTCCCCCCCATTTTTGCTGCCGCATGGCGTCTAGAACTACCCACGTCGCTCAAGTTCTTCTAATCCAACAACTTCCTTCTAAAGAGACCTCTGGCATGTCTCAACCGCCTAGAGCCTGAGTGACTCAACTTGAACAAACGGTCCAGAGGGCAAGAACTTTAGGTTATTTGCTGATTACTATAGCAGGTTTTGCCGTCCCAGGTATGAAGGGACGCGGTAAAAAATGAGGAAAGATGTCGTGTTTAAGAAATCTTAAACAACAACAGGAGAACAAAGAAACGCAAGCCAAAAGAATATGAAGAGCCCTCTACTTTTAAAGAATGAAGAAAATAATATTAAAAAAATAATTTTGATTTTTTATTGATAAAATAATAAATAATTTAAACAAAAGAAAATGGAGGTGGGCAGAGAACAGAGACACTGACTGCGGCTCCGATGTGGCGGAGGAGCCTAGTGGCTAATAACAAAAATAATAATATCACTTGTTTCGTAAATACCCTTCTTATTCTACTTTAATACAATATTGTCCTATCTTTATCCACAATCTTTAGTTCTTTACATTTCGAGAAAGGGTTATTCTCTTTTGAGGACACTCATTTTAAAATTTTAAAAATAAAAGACATTAATTTTATTTGTATTAATAAATAGACACTTTTTATCACTCAAAGGTTTATTGATAAAAAATAGTTTTTTATTTAATTGATAAAGGTATCCATTTATTAATATAAATAATAAATTTGTATCTTTTTTCTCTATTTTTTTAAATAAGTATTCTTCGATTGACAATAACCTTTCGAGAAATGCTAAAAAATACTTTAAAAAAATAATAAAAAATTGACAAAATATTGTATTAGTCCATGGAGAAAGATTATATTAACTTAAAAGGGAGGATTGGTTTGTTTTTGATGGTGTAGTTGTTTGAGATTGACATGAAATAAAATAGTTAAATATGTTGTCAAAGTCTCCACACATGATTTTCATAAACCTCTTTATGTTTGTTAACATATCTACTTTATAGATTTTGTAGGTCATCACACCTTGTACAATAGGTAACTTTATACTTTGTTTTAATCATCAAAATTTATATTTATTTTGTATATTTCATTCCAAACTCCCACTCACCTACCGACTAATATTAAAAAAATAAATCTTATTCATTAAATTTTAAACCCTACCCCTGAAGATCAAATTATGAGCGGAAAGCGACAACGATACTATCGAATTCTTTTTCATAGGTAAGCAATACAGGATACCGAGACCACTCGCAAGACAATAATTGCGCTCGGGGAAAGATTAAAGACAAGGAGCAGTCAACAGTTCAATGCAAGAGCAAGAAGTCTGTCAACCCACACCATCAAAACACCAATCACATGGTTGTTGCACTCACTTGCAAGCAGCCATGCCAAATGAACCAAACCTTGATGACAATAGCCATCAAGCATGCAAAAGCATTGAACAAGGCCGCCCCAACACTATAAGACGCAAAAAGAACATTAAAACCGAAGGACAACCTGCCTAAACCATGTAGGCTGTAACACCCACTTTGAGGTACGTAGTTTGGTATGCTTATTTTTGTCTTGGTGTTGTTTGTTGGCCCTAAGTTAAATTGCTATGTTGTTATTGTTGATTGGTTGCCCTTGGGTAAGTTTGTAAGGTGTTAAAGTTGCTTGGATGCCCTGAATTTGGTACAGCCTTGGAGAATTATGGAAGTGCAGACTTCGCCGGGGCGAAGAAGAAGCTTCGCTGCAACAATGTATGCTCTGTATTTTTTCGTCGGGGCGAAGAGTCGGTTGATTTTTCTAGTGAAGTTTCTAGAGAATTTTTCCTAGGGGTGAAGTGACCATTCTACCCCTAATTAGCAGGAAAAGTGGGGAGTAAAATGCAAGGAGCATGCACTGGAGTAGGGGTAAGATGGAATTTTCAAAAAAGTGCAAGGGCAAAATGGGAAAGAATGCTTATTTATATGAGCTAACAAGGGTTTAGCCTTAGAAACCCTCCCTTCTCTACACTCCATACACTTCTACTACTCTCCATTTCTCTCAATTCTTCATCCATTTTGCTAAGGAAATTGAGGGCTTTTGGTTGGATTTTGACAAGGATTTGATCCTAAGCATCAAGAGGTAAGGATTCTTACTTTAGACTTGAGATTAATTTATGTTAGTATGGAATTCTTATATAGTTTATGCTTAGGGTTTGAGAAAGAGAACAAGTCCAACAAAGATAGTGAGCTTTTGTGAAACTACTCAAGAAAAAGGTAAGTAAATCCAACCCTAACCCTTGTTTGAGCAAGTAAAGCATATAAATTGTTTTATGTGAATTTTATATGAGGTTCATATGCTTGAGATTTGTGTATGAAACTTGTTATTGAGTTTGATGCTGATCCATGAATGGGTTTTTCTACATGAGAAGGGTTGGTTGAGTTGTTAGAATTTGATAGAAGTTGGGTTGAATTTAGAAAGAGTTTAAGAGCATTTATGTAGTGTATTTTGTTGGCCAGGATTTGTGATGATTCAAGGGAGTTTTACTCTAATTATGGATGGTTTAAGAAAGAAGGAGAAGCATAGTTAAAGTATAATTTAAGTATGCATGCTTGTTGTTTGATGAAATGTTTAAGAGAAGCATATGCATGAATAGAAAAACTTAATTTTGTGCAACATTGCATACTTGCACCTAGGGGTGTATACAAGTCGAGTCGAGCCGAACACTATAGGACTCGACACTCGGCTCGAGAAAATTTAACGAACTCGAGCTCGAACTTGGGTTCGACGAGCTCTAGAAACCAAGCTCGAAGCTCGGCTTGAGATGATTTGCTGAGCTCGAAGCTCGGCTCGAGCTTGACTCGTTTAACAGGCTTTAATCCAAAGCAACCCACCAATAATCTTTAAAAAAAAAAAAAAAATCCAAAGCCAACCCACCAGATTCTTCAAAACCTTAACGATAATGTAAAAGCAACAACCTCATTTTTTAAGAAGAAAAAGCAGCTTGGAGAAGGGAGAGTGAGACAAGATTTGTAATGTCATAGATTTGAGGTAGAAGAGCTAAAGGAAAGAAGAAGGAAAGAGAAAGGAAAGGGAAAGAAGAAGGAAAGGAGAAGAAAAAGGAAAGAGAAAAGAAAGGAGAAGAAGTGCGGCTGTGATGGAAAGGAGAAGAAAAGAAAAGAGAAAAGAAAGGAGAAGAAGTGCGGTTGTGATGAAAAATGTGTTAGGGTTTTTAGAATAAACAATTTATATGTAAAATAATAAATTGTATAGACACCTTTATACTTGAAAAACTTACACTTTATATTTAAAAAACTTACACTCATACCCTTTCGAGCCATGGAGGCTCACGAGCCTATCGAGCCGAGCACTGGGTGGCTCGGGCTCGACTTGAAAAGGCACTTGAACAACTCAAGCTCGAGCTCGATTGAGCTTTTCTCTAGTCGAGCCTGAGCCATTCGCGAACAGCTCGGCTCGGCTACACCCCTACTTGCACCTAAGAAAGAAAAGAAAGAATAAAGAACTATAAGAGTAAAGAGAAAGAAAGAAAAGCACTAAAGAATTAAAGAAAGAAAAGTGCTGAAGAAGATAAAAGAATAGGTGGTTGCGATGGAGAACCCGTGAGTGCTAAGAAGAAGAAATTCTCACATACACGCCACCTTGATTGAGTGGCATAAGAAGAAGAAGAATTTGTATGGCTCGTAAGAGTGTATGTGGATGAAAGCTGTACCAGGAAGAATTTCCTACATGCACGCCACCTTAATTGAGTAGCCTAAGAAGAAAAAAGAATTTGTATAGTCCGTAAGAGTGCATGTAGATGAGGACTGTACTCACTCACATGGTCAGAGCCATGGTCAGAGTTCCAAATCCATGCATCAACGGAGTCCGATCGGCACAGGAAAAGAAAAAGAATAAAAATAAGAAAAAGAAAAAGAAAAAGAATAGGAAAAAGAAAAAGAATAAGAATAAGAATGAGAAAGAATGAGAAAGCTTGAACAAGCAAGAAAAGCAAAGCAAAACTTGAACAAACAAGAAAAGAAACAGAATAAGAAAGAAAAAGAAGAAAAGAAAACGCATGTCTATGCATTAGTGCATATACATTTCATTCATGCATGTTACCATGATTTCCATCATGGTTAGTGAGCCTAAGAATAAAAAGAAAGAACAGAGAGAATTAGAAAGAAAGGAAAGAACAGTGAGAACTAGAAATAGAGAAAGAAAAAAGAATGAATGAAAAAAAGAAAAGAATAGAGTAAGGAAAGAATCAAAGTATAAGTCGTGGGAATAGAGGAGTAAAAGATTTACTTACTGAGTATTTTTGTGCTCAAAATGACATGATTGTCCACCGTTATAAAAGCTTTTGTATATGTGGTTTTGCTATGTACAGAATAATATATGTTAAGTAAAGAAAATTTTGAACCCAACTACTTTTTATTTATTAAATATTATATTTTTCATAAAATATACTAGTAGAAAAGAAGTTATTATGTAGGCATTGCACCATACCTAAGATCACGAATGGCCAGCTAAAGAAATGATTTAATAAATCACTTAGTTGAACCCTCCAGACTCACTATTAAGAATATTACAAAAACATAATATTCATTGTTTTAATATATTAAAAATTACGTTTTTTTTTTCTTTTTGTATGTTATACATGTAACATGTCAAAACAAACAAATATTTTGTTATAGTTAAAGACAACTCAATTAAAATCTAATCTAACAGTAATAACCAAACCAAACCAAACCCTTGTTTGGGTCAAATGTTTATAGCACTGAGTCCAAGTTCATTGGAACTTCATCTCCCATATGTTCAAATGAAAGGTAATAGTTCTACATACCCACCAAAACAATAGTAAACAACAATATACAGGCCGCCCATGAAGCTGAAATCAAGTCTGTCAAACTACTCCCTTATTTTTTATTCTTAAAACAACCGATTTATGATAGCTGATTGCTGCCAAAGACATGAAGACAATTTGCTAAATTCCCATTCGTGAATTATAAATTTATAAGAATATTTTAACCGTATAATGTTGTCGTGGAAGTCATTACATAGGGTGTCAGAAGTAACTGACTTGTCTGAAAACTAGGAAAAAGGTAGCACTCGGCAAATGTTTATACTCTCTTAGCAGCGCGTGAGCGTGAGGCTTTCATATTGCTGCCCAAATTTGTCCTCTGTTGTTGGACCTGTGCTGTTCAAACTGCTGACCCGAATTTCTTTCCTCTTTTTGTACCGGTCGTCCCAATTCAAAGCCTTAAATCCAGCAAAAGTGTGGGAAGTGTGAATCGATATGATCTTTCCATGTGAGGACTGCTTTCCATGTGAGAGACTGCTTAATTTCATCAGATTTTATACAATGTTTTGTTATATATAATCCATTAGTTGCTATCATCTCATGATATACAATACAACAGCCCGCAGATCTCCTTCAAGCTTTCTTAGGTACCTTCTTCTTCTCCAATTGACTTTTAGACGATTGTTTTGGTTATGTTTAGGTTTTTTCTGGGTTTTCTTTTTTTCAAATGGGTGTTTGGTGTTTTATTTGTTAGACAAATGTTTTGTTTGATTTTAATTCATTGATCATGATTTGCTAGCTTGTAGTTTTTTAATGGTGTTCATGTTGTATTGAAATAACTTTAAGTCCATATTTGATTTTGTGTTTAAGGATGTGAACGTGAGTTTAGTTATATTTATAGTATTTTGAAGTAAGATCAGGTGGATGGTTGGTCTTGAATGAATTTATTGACTTGAACAGGATTAAAAATTCTCTCCTTCTGGGTTTGAAAATTTGGAAGGTGATAAAGTTGTTCTTTTTTCTTAAGTTGTATTGAACAACTATGTAGAATCTTTAGCAGCAAACTATGTAGAGTTCTTTCTGTCAATAAAGATATATTCGATGGATCATTTGCAATGTAATGAGTCCATAGGGAGATCCATTATGCTTTACTTTTATGGGGGAAAAAAGTGCATTCCAGACATGGGAATTGAATCAGCCTTTTCTGCAACCCCAATTGGTTCAGAATTGAGGCTCATTGAGTTAAGTCGAGTTGATTGAATCACCATTTTTGAGTTGTGAATGCAAATTACTGGCTTGGCATTTAACAAAGTGAATTTCTTGATTTAGCGGGGTTAGCCTGTGTATAGAGTTTGAATGGATGGGATGGGGGGATATTTCGCTGCATGCTATTTCAGATACTATTCAATTTAAGGTGAAAAGTATTCATGATGCTTTTGGCAAATTATACTTAGGGATCCTTAAAATGAAAATGCCGTTCCTCCCAACAAATAAACTAAAGTGAATTCTTAGGGTATAATAGTATTGATTTGTATAACAGCAGTGCAAGGGAAGATGAGAACATATCTTTGACATGTTTGAGCTAGCGTACATCAAGGAAAAGATGCATGAAATCACCTAAGATGATTTGCTCATGTTGCACTGAAAACAAATGACTGCACTACATGAACAAGAGAAAGTAATCTAGGCTGGTTGAGTGCAATGAAAAGTAGTTGGGAGAATATACATTTGAAAATCATGCTTTCTCATGGTGTTTTCTTTTCTACTTTTTTCCTTATAATTCTATTTTATACTTGTTGTTTTTAGCTAAGAAAGATGCAGTTGTTTGTTTGTTTGTAAAGTTGATCAGTCATGCTCAACTTGTTTCAATTTCTTCAATTTACGTTCCTTTTCTAAATTAATCACCTCATTGTCCAAGCAGATGGAAAGCAAGAAGGTCTCCACTCTGAGATCAGAGGACCACCATGATGTTGAGATGGCAATGGTCTCTGGAGGAAATGTTGCCAATTTATTGGCACCACAGCTACCTTGTGATTCTGTCTGCGCCTTCTTGAAACAAGAAAATAATACATCGGAGTTGAAAGAACGATCTAAATCAGCAACAAAACTCTGTGCACTCATAATTTTCTACCTAATAGCTATGGTGGTAGAGATTGTTGGTGGGGTTAAAGCCAACAGTCTTGCAGTTATGACAGATGCCGCCCACTTGGCGATGGATGTTGCTGGATTCTCCATCTCTCTTTTCTCAGTCTGGGCTTCAGGTTGGGAGGCAACGTCACATTACTCTTTTGGTTTCCATCGTCTTGAAGTTTTGGGAGCCCTTATATCAATGCAACTTATATGGTTAGTATCTGCTTACTTAATTTACGAAGCAGTTTACAGAATGGTTCATAAATGTGCAGAGGTGAATGGGACACTCATGTTTGGAGTTGCGGCATTTGGATTTATCATCAATTTAATTGTGATCATTTGTCTTGGTCATGATCATGCTCATGCTCATCATGCTTGTGGTGACAAAGATCATGATCATCATAATCAGGTTGAGGTAGAGAAATTAGGTTTAGTAGCTGAAGGTGATGGAAATTACCCGGTCCCGAGTTCTCCAGCAAAGACAAAAATATTAAACATAAATCTCCAAGGGGCATATCTGCATGTCATGGCTGATCTAATTCAATCAGTTGGGGTGATGATTGCCGGAGGGGTTATGTGGATAAGACCAGATTGGTGTGTTGTGGATCTTATATGCACTTTTGTTTTCTCTGCTTTTTCTGCTGCTACTACACTGCCGATGATTAGAGATGTATTTGGCATACTGATGGAGAGGACACCAAGTGAAATCAATGTTGGTAAGCTAGAAAGTGATCTAAAATGTATTTATGGAGTTCAAACTGTTTACGACCTGCATGTTTGGGCTATTACAACTGGGAAACTTGCATTGTGTTGCCATTTGATAGCTGAGCCTGGAGTCAAGTCTAGTGAAATACTTGATAAGGTTAGGGATTATTGTAAGAAAACATATAGAATTCATCATGTAACTGTACAAATTGAATAGTAGTCAATAGATTCCTCAATATATCTTGTATTCATCTCTTAAAATTCAAAAGATCCACACTGATGGAGTTACAGTTACTTGCTTATTTGAAGTAAGAGTAATCGATAAGTAACTTCTTTGATTAGCAATTAGCGGTGGTCGCAAGAAAGCATCATAATTAAATGAAAATGGCCCTCAACAGTTTATTTTACATGTGCTTAAAGGTAGTCATGCTCTTGTATGCATCTTTTTCTTTTGTCATAATGTGCTCAGTAGCCAGATAACGTGCGATAAGTCAATGGTATAGCTTCAACAAACTTTACCAGACGCTTGGTTAGGTGGTTCAAAGAAAGAAGAAGAAAAAATAGAACAAGTTATGGAATCATATCTGCCACACCCAATACTAATACATCTATTACAAGTTAGCAAGTAACCCGAAAACTTACAATGCCTCATATTCTTCCCCATATTTCTCCAACTCAAATTAAGTCCCCACTTCCCACTCTAACATCTCCCCTGCATACATCAATTTTCTACTTTTAAAGCCAATGTATTAAGAAATGGGGCAGAAGAAAAGGCTGAATTACCTAATTAAATTTCACAAGCTTCCTTATCACAACTCAATCAAGTAAAAATGTATTCTACATGTCTCTCTCTCAGCCAAAGATTCAAAAAAAAAAAAAAAAAAAAAAAAAACATGAAAAAGAAAATTGTCTGCTTGGTAGTAATTCTGTTTCCTTCCTCAAATATCCACATCATCTTAAGTAGAACAGCAACCTTTTTTCACATTCCCTGATGAGTCCCCGACATTAATAGTGGTTCCTTGGCCGGGAACAGTGGTAGTAGCAGTTGCCTGCTGGGCTGCCAATGCTTTTTTGCTTATGATATGGTAAATCTCCGTCAAAATTGTCTGAAATGCCTTCTCAACATTGGTCGATTCCAGTGCAGATGTCTCAAGAAATGAGAGACCTTCCTTCTCAGCCAAGGAATGCCCATCCTCCTCTGGAACAGCTCTAAGATGATTTAAGTCAGACTTATTCCCAGCCATCATTATCACAATGTTAGAATCAGCATGATCTCTCAATTCACGGAGCCACCTCTGGACATTGTCAAAAGTTTGCCTCTTGGTTATGTCATAGACAAGGAGGGCACCAACAGCTCCTCTGTAGTAAGCACTGGTGATTGCTCGGTATCGCTCCTGCCCTGCTGTGTCCCAAATCTGTGCTTTAACTGTCTTTCCTTCTACCTGCATCAAAATATTACAGGTAATAAAAGAAGTTTAATAGTAAAAAAAATCATTGACCTCCATCTTCACAAAAAATCCATCAGACAGTTATATTATTCACAGTCACGGACAAGTTATTCGCTTCTTTGAATTATATGAAAGTCAATTGACTATTGATCTTACAACTTCAACATCATAATAAACTTCAAAAAGGACCTCACCACCCCCACACTGTCCCATTCATCATTATATTAAGTGTTCAATCAATATGCCATTATCTATATTTCTCGACCAAACAACTATGTGTTCCTTTCACTAAGATGTCCTATTGCACTCTGATTAAGTTTCAGGTATAGTAGTTCACAGCAAGAAAAAGCATCCAATACAAAAATTTTCCATTCACAGAAACCTATTAATTATAAAGTATAATCAGTTGGTGAAATTTCATCATATGCACAAAATTGCAATTATGACCAACATTTCCCTGTTAATTCCAACAACAATAAACCATTCAAGATGCTCTTATAGATGAAATTTGACTGTAAGAATAAAGAATTGTATACAATTTCAGCCAAAAAACATATCTAATGACCTCCAATACTAAATTGTCAAATTAGACCTCCAATACTAAATTGTCAAATTAACTTACAAGATCCCTCGTTCTTCTCACCACTCAAACTACAGGTAACAATACCAGAGCACTTTTTCAGTATCATGTAACATCAGTAACACAGAAACATTGTACCAATTGTTAGTTACAAAAAGGCGTTACAAACACATAAATAAGCTGAACATATCAACGAGCTCAATCAAACTCTAATTTCCAAATAGATCAAGCGACACGTCTTTTAAAGAGAATCACCTGAAGAGTTCTGGTGGCGAACTCAACACCGATAGTGGATTTAGATTCCAAGCAAAACTCATTCCTCGTAAACCTCGAAAGAATATTTGATTTCCCCACACCAGAGTCGCCGATCAACACGATCTTGAACAAATAATCGTACTCGTGATCAACTCTACTCGCCATCACAGCCTCTCCCTCTCCGATCTCTCTTTGAACACCTGTAAAAACAAACAAACACACACAACTCAAAATCAATCAAATTTCACTCGAATTTTGAAAAAATTAAAGTGACAGATAGGTAAGTTAAGAGTGTTCTTACTTTCAGTCACAGGCGGATAGATCGAGAAGAGAGAAAGAGAAATGCGACTTTCGGTACGGTAATTGGAGGAATTGCAGGGACTGAGTCCAATGAGAGAGAGAGACAGGGGGAGTAATTGGAAACAAGAAGAAGAATGAAACGGACAGGGAGGGGGTTTTTATATATACTTTGTTTCGGATGGAACGGCGACGTTTCCTTCAAGGGGAAAAATGACAAAATAATGAGGTGGCAACTGACAGTTGCAGGCTGGCAGGTGGTGTGCAGTGGATGTTTAGTGATTGCCACGCCCTTGTTACTTGGGATTATTTTATTTAAATTTATGTTGGGGTTGGTTATCATAGGCTCACATCTAGCTTTTTCAATGTAACAGAATCAATTATGCTTGCCACGTCATCAATATAAATTAATCAATACGAAAAATTATATTAAATACAGTACATTTTTCTTGATTAACAGACTAAAAAGTATTTAATTGATTTATGTACTTTTAATGTGAGGTTTATTTTTATGATACTAAATTACTAATCAATTATACGTGGAATTAGAATTATTCTTAACAAAAATAAATAATTTATAATTCTTTTTTCTTTATATATAAAATTATAATATTCAAGGAATACTAGGAAAGTGACATGAATAAAAGCTAAACTTTAGTATATTTGATATTTAATTTATAATAAAAATATTCAAGAATAGATTTCAGTGAAAGTGGGAAATTTGTTGAGTGGTAGTAAGGAAGATTATGCATAAAAATTCAAGAACGCTATGATTTTTTTATGGCATGTTTAAGTAAGTGCTCTTAAAAGTTAATTCAAATGAATTATAATTACAAATTAAATGGCTAGAAATTGTATTTATTTTATTTTGTCAATTTGATTGACTATTATATTGTATATATGTGATTGAATTTTCTCAATCCATCATCTCTTAAACTAACTCTGAAGAATAAATTATATTTAAACTATTTTATTATATTATCAATTGATGTTTGTTTGGAGTGATAATGGGTTTTAAATTATAATTATTATAATATATACACATGGTAGCTGGATTTTCAAATTCATTTATCATAAATAAAAAAATATTAAATTATTTAAGAGTAGACTATAATAACTTAATAGGGCATGTCGGCTGATTTTTTTTTTTTCTTTCTCCTGAAGTCAATGATTGAATCATTATACAAGAACGGCAATGAAAAGTTGACCATTTGCTTCTGTTACAAGATTGTATTATGGGATTTATGATTTTTATTTCTGACGTGATTAAGACACTGTTATAAAGGACAATTATTTACTCCGATAAGTGCACCCTTATGATTACATCAGGCGTATTATAAAAGTCACCACATTTTTATGTTAGGTGAATTTAAATCATGATAATAGTTTTTGTGTATGTTTTTACATTACAACCAATAATTGTAGTTATATGACTATGTTACATATGATGATTTTATGTGTTACATATAAATTTTAATAAATTTATCTATTATCATGTTTACTATATTATAGTATTTGTTTTAACAAATAAAAATTATTTAAAAAATCAAGTAAGAATCTATTAATGATAGGTCAAATAATAATATTTAATTTCTCATAATATTGTATTTTTTTTTTTAAAACAAGGTGTCGTACACTTCGGTTAGTCCCCGTAAATGATAACCTAAGACCGTATACTCTTAATCACATATCTAAGCGCTCATATTACCTACCACTTTGAGTTACCTAATATATATATTTTAAAATCCTTTAGTATTGTTAGGATTGGGTTTTGTTTATTTCACAATACACAGCGAAATAAATTAAAAATTTAATATTCTAATAAAAATAAATGATATTTGAAAGAAAATTCAATAGAATTGATTTTTAATTATTAAATAAAAGATTCTATAATTTGTCGAAATGCAAATTTTATTATAATATTTAATAATATTATCACAAACACCTCCAATCATCTTGACAATTTCGTCCTACCAAACGCTAGTCTGTTTCGTCTTTTTCAATTGATTCGGTGGGCATAGGGCTATCCTCCAATCCACAACTCGGAATGAAATAAACCCTATACCCAAACAATCTCCACACTCTTTCCCTTCGGATAGTCGTGTGAAAACCACGCGTCACAAATAGCGTAAGACAAACTCCCACTGATAGAATTCAACAAACACCTCCACACCGAGTTTCGATCGTCCGATCCGTTCACATCATCAAATCGAAACTCCTCAGAAGAAGAAGGAGAAGATGAAGAAGGAAGACACGGTGAAGCTGATCAGCGCGGAGGGCTTCGAGTTCGTGATCGACAAGGAAGCTGCCATGGTTTCGCAGACCATCCGCAACATGCTCACCTCTCCGGGTTTATCTTTGTCTCTTTTATTTATTTACTTTTTTTGTTGCGCGAAAGTACCTTATTTCATGTAATTTATTGCATACAATTTGTATGGTTGATGACGAGTGTTATGTTTTGGGCGAAAGTTACGGTACCGTGATGTAAAATCCCGTAACGTTACTGGAATCAACGGTTTAGTATCGCATTGTCAGTACTTATAATTTTATAACCACACATCGGCAATGAAATTTGAATTGTAATTTGTGAATGTTATCATTTTCGCGTTTTTAATTTACCGATAATGTTACCGGAGTGTAAATTGTGTAATTACTGTAAAATTAGAATTGTATTGATGTGTTGCAGGGAGTTTTGCTGAAACACAGGATGGAAAAGTGACATTCCCTGAGATAAGCACCACCATTTTGGAGAAGATCTGCCAATATTTTTATTGGTCTCTTCAGTATGCCAGGTTCTGTTTTTTCTTTAGTAATTTGTATTCTTTTGTGGAGACATTATTGCAGTCTATTGATGTATTTACTTGTCTTTTGATACTGTAAATTTGGATGCAAAATCCGAGTTTTGTCGACTATGTGTATTGGTTAATTTTTAAAGTTTGGTTTACTTTGAGAAACAAGTACTCTATGTTGAAATTATGCTTCGCAAGTTTATTAGTGTTCAATGGAGCAGTAGCTCTATAAGAATTTAAAAGCTGCTTTTCTCTACTTGCATTATTGAAGAATGTCATCCGTTCCATGTGGGAAATGACTATTTTGTTGATAGGATCTTAGCTTTATAGTGAGATGGGCAGTGCTTCAGTCATCATTGTTGAGTTCATTTTACATATTTTGAAGACAAGTACATGCTTTTGATCCTCTCTATGTCAGTTTTTAAACTAATATGAATAAGCTTTTTTTTTTTTNATATATATATTTTAAAATCCTTTAGTATTGTTAGGATTGGGTTTTGTTTATTTCACAATACACAGCGAAATAAATTAAAAATTTAATATTCTAATAAAAATAAATGATATTTGAAAGAAAATTCAATAAAATTGATTTTTAATTATTAAGTAAAAGATCCTATAATTTGTCGAAATGCAAATTTTATTATAATATTTAATAATATTATCACTAACACCTCCAATCATCTTGATATTTTCGTCCTACCAAACGCTAGTCTGTTTCATCTTTTTCAATTGATTCGGTGGGCATAGGGCTATCCTCCAATCCACAACTCGGAATGAAATAAACCCTATACCCAAACAATCTCCACACTCTTTCCCTTCGGATAATCGTGTGAAAACCACGCGTCACAAATAGCGTAAGACAAACTCCCACTGATAGAATTCAACAAACACCTCCACACCGAGTTTCGATCGTCCGATCCGTTCACATCATCAAATCGAAACTCCTCAGAAGAAGAAGGAGAAGATGAAGAAGGAAGACACGGTGAAGCTGATCAGCGCGGAGGGCTTCGAGTTCGTGATCGACAAGGAAGCTGCCATGGTTTCGCAGACCATCCGCAACATGCTCACCTCTCCGGGTTTATCTTTGTCTCTTTTATTTATTTACTTTTTTTGTTGCGCGAAAGTACCTTATTTCATGTAATTTATTGCATACAATTTGTATGGTTGATGACGAGTGTTATGTTTTGGGCGAAAGTTACGGTACCGTGATGTAAAATCCCGTAACGTTACTGGAATCAACGGTTTAGTATCGCATTGTCAGTACTTATAATTTTATAACCACACATCGGCAATGAAATTTGAATTGTAATTTGTGAATGTTATCATTTTCGCGTTTTTAATTTACCGATAATGTTACCGGAGTGTAAATTGTGTAATTACTGTAAAATTAGAATTGTATTGATGTGTTGCAGGGAGTTTTGCTGAAACACAGGATGGAAAAGTGACATTCCCTGAGATAAGCACCACCATTTTGGAGAAGATCTGCCAATATTTTTATTGGTCTCTTCAGTATGCCAGGTTCTGTTTTTTCTTTAGTAATTTGTATTCTTTTGTGGAGACATTATTGCAGTCTATTGATGTATTTACTTGTCTTTTGATACTGTAAATTTGGATGCAAAATCCGAGTTTTGTCGACTATGTGTATTGGTTAATTTTTAAAGTTTGGTTTACTTTGAGAAACAAGTACTCTATGTTGAAATTATGCTTCGCAAGTTTATTAGTGTTCAATGGAGCAGTAGCTCTATAAGAATTTAAAAGCTGCTTTTCTCTACTTGCATTATTGAAGAATGTCATCCGTTCCATGTGGGAAATGACTATTTTGTTGATAGGATCTTAGCTTTATAGTGAGATGGGCAGTGCTTCAGTCATCATTGTTGAGTTCATTTTACATATTTTGAAGACAAGTACATGCTTTTGATCCTCTCTATGTCAGTTTTTAAACTAATATGAATAAGCTTTTTTTTTTTTTTCCTACCTTTCACTAGCACTGATTGCATAATGGAGCTAAACAAAGATTTGAAGCCTTCAATTGTATGCCTTTTTTCTTCATAATGCACTATGTTGACATAGAATGTTGCTCTTTTGGTCAGGGGTAAGGAGACTGATTTCCACATTGAACCTGAACTAACTCTGGAGCTGATGATGGCTGCTAACTATCTCCACACTTGAGTGAATTACTGTACTTGCTTCTTGAGTGGCGAGTACTTTTAACATGGTAAGCCTTCTGCTTATTGTCATTTTCTGGTTACAAGTTTTCATTATGGTATATACTCTTCTGTTTGTTGGTTTAATCTGTTGTTTAGTTAGCTTCAATTTGTTGCAATCTGACCTTATCCCTTTTTTCTTTGTCTAGCTCAACTGCTTAAGGATGATATTGTTGCCTGAGAAGGCTTAAAGATACTAGGATTCTGTTTTAATGCCCTGCATTGGAGTTCATTGCCACTGCAAAAAGTTGTATTCAGAAGTATATTTGAATGTTAATTGTCATTACTTAAGAGTAGTGTAAGACCTATGTAGCCGAAAATGTATGTAGTAATTGAATGATTTAACTTGGTTGCTGTATGCTATAGAACTCAAGTGGCAAGTCTTATGAAGAGAAACATTGTTTCATCATGTTCTCTGTCAAAGAAGTATTTTGCTTGACGTTCTTAAGCTTATATAATGTCATACTTTTATTAGTCACGTTTAGTTGTCAACGATTGTTATGTACATTCTGAAGGCAGAGCTTAAAGATCACTTTGGTATCTTTGAATCAGAATGGGACTTAAAAACTCAAGCAAATAGCAACTGCAGATTTCCTTTAGTAATGAACATTTTACTTATAAATGAAATGGCCTTGATTTTCATATTGGTAGCCTTACGTTTCTCTCACATTTTTTCCTTTCCCAATCCTCCATATAAGCAGTATCTTTTAACTGGTTGCTACCAAGTCACAATTTCAGAAATAAAGGTAGAAATAGCANAATTGTATGCCTTTTTTCTTCATAATGCACTAAGTTGACATAGAATTTTGCTCTTTTGGTCAGGGGTAAGGAGACTGATTTCCACATTGAACCTGAACTAACTCTGGAGCTGATGATGGCTGCTAACTATCTCCACACTTGAGTGAATTACTGTACTTGCTTCTTGAGTGGCGAGTACTTTTAACATGGTAAGCCTTCTGCTTATTGTCATTTTCTGGTTACAAGTTTTCATTATGGTATATACTCTTCTGTTTGTTGGTTTAATCTGTTGTTTAGTTAGCTTCAATTTGTTGCAATCTGACCTTATCCCTTTTTTCTTTGTCTAGCTCAACTGCTTAAGGATGATATTGTTGCCTGAGAAGGCTTAAAGATACTAGGATTCTGTTTTAATGCCCTGCATTGGAGTTCATTGCCACTGCAAAAAGTTGTATTCAGAAGTATATTTGAATGTTAATTGTCATTACTTAAGAGTAGTGTAAGACCTATGTAGCCGAAAATGTATGTAGTAATTGAATGATTTAACTTGGTTGCTGTATGCTATAGAACTCAAGTGGCAAGTCTTATGAAGAGAAACATTGTTTCATCATGTTCTCTGTCAAAGAAGTATTTTGCTTGACGTTCTTAAGCTTATATAATGTCATACTTTTATTAGTCACGTTTAGTTGTCAACGATTGTTATGAACATTCTGAAGGCAGAGCTTAAAGATCACTTTGGTATCTTTGAATCAGAATGGGACTTAAAAACTCAAGCAAATAGCAACTGCAGATTTCCTTTACTAATGCACATTTTACTTATAAATGAAATGGCCTTGATTTTCATATTGGTAGCCTTACGTTTCTCTCACATTTTTTCCTTTCCCAATCCTCCATATGAGCATTATCTTTTAACTGGTTACTACCAAGTTACAATTTCAGAAATAAAGGTAGAAATAACAATGCGATAAAAAAAAAAATTTGTTAATGTTGAAATTTTGGCCTTTGATAATAAGAAAAGCTACAGTAATAAACAAAACTAGTTGATAAGCTTTAAAAGCTCGTTCAATGATTTGTAGGAAGAACCTCCTTTTGTGATGCTAAGTTCAATCTCTTTCATCAAATTCTTAATTCTATGCCTAATCTCTTCCCCTTCTTTTTCTACCATAAGCCTTCTTACAGTTTTCTCCATCTCTTCACTGTCCAATTTGTTACCCAACTCCAAGCCTATCTTCCATACGTGACTTACATACCTTGCATTCACCCACTGATCTCCAAAACATGGTCTACAAATCATTGGAACCCCTTCACATATACTTTCCAGGACCGAATTCCAACCACAGTGGCTCCAGAATCCTCCAATTGCACTGTGTGCTAATACCTCCTTTTGCGGTGCCCATTTCACAATGCACCCATTTTCTCCTACAGCTTCTTTAAAACCCTCCGGCAGTAAATCTGTTTCATCTGTACCATTAATTGAAGTCGGCCTAACTACCCATAAGAATGGTTGCTTGCTGTTCGCGAGGCCCCAAGCCATTTCAACTAGCTCTCTGTTATCTATGGATGCTATGCTCCCCAAGCTAACATATATGACAGATTTATGAGCTTGGTTGTTAAGCCATGCAATGCAGCTAGTGTCCTCCTTAAATAAGCCGCTAGAGGAGGATGGGGCAATTTTGGGCAAAGGGCCAAGTGGGAAGTTTGGAACTTGGCATTGCCGTTGGAGTTCCGTCAGTACTGATTTTTCAAGGCAGTCCGTGGTATTCCAAATGACAGCTGAAGATGTTCTTATTTTGTACATGTTGGTTATCAGTTGCAATAAACTTTCTGGTATTTGAATCCTTGGAACAGGCAGGTCCTTGAACCGGAGGGGATGAAGCCAAGGCACTGGATCGTGCAGTATAGTATCTGTCCCAGAATAAAAGATCATATCAGTTATTGGTGTTTATGGAGAAATTGATTAGCTAAGAAGATCATTGCTAGAGGGAAAATCAAACGATATGGAAATGTCAAGGTATAATTCTTGCAAGTTCATTTGCTCTACTTTAATTACAAGCTAATTCAAATCTGACTTCTGTGTGTACTAGGCAGGTAATTCAAGGCACATACCTTTCAAGGGGATGTAACCTTCTTCCTTGAGCCGGAAAATGGCAACGCGAGCTGTAAGTGTGGCCGCGCTGGTGGTGCGCAAGATCATGCTTTTAAGCTTCAGTTGATTAGCTGCTGCTTCAGAGAAGTACATGAGTTCATCATAGATGATGCACACAATCTCACCATATTGGCCATGTTGTTCCATCATCTGAACCAAGCATTTGCGGAAAGGTGCTAAGCAGTTCACATTAATAAGTGCTATAGTATCAACTAAATTCGCCGTGGAGATAATATGATCAGGTACGCCATCTGGTAAAGATCGGAAGTCGAATTCAGGGCGCAAGGAAGGGTTAGGAGAATTGAATTGGGTGTGAACAACTGTGATGGATAAGCCCTTTGAGTGAAGAATGGAGCCAAGCTGAAGCATTGGAGTTATGTGGCCTTGATATGGACACGGCACTAGCACCACTCGTCTACATTTCTGTCCTTGTTCTTCCATATCTCTTCTTGCTGGTTTTGGCCACTCCCCTGAATGCCTACAAACAAAATATTTATAAAAGTCTTCAGGTAACCTGATTTGTTTGACGGGATTGGGTTATTTTTTTATTTTATTTTACTGCAGCCAGAATAAGTTAAACTTGCTGACTCCAATCAGATCTTTCAGAATCATCACCATTGTCTCATTAAGTGGTAGCTTTCAGCAAGCACATGCAATTATTGGAACTTGGGATCTTTTTTTATTGGTGGAACAGAGAACAACAAAATCTAGTTACTTGAAGGCACGGAATTCCTACTGGTGAGCTGCTGCTGGAAGACTGATTTGACAAGGAACTGAGTTCACATTGCCTGTTTGATATGGTTGCTATTTTTATATATTAAAATCATATGGAATTGCTGTGGGAAACTAGCTGGATTTAGGAATATGTAATACTGGTTTCTCTTTATGAGTACAAAAATATTGGGATTTTTTTTTTTTTTTTAAATAGGTCGTCTGTTTAATCATTTTTCATTAGCCTATCCAAAATATGCATTTATTTTCTTATTCTGAAAATCCTATTTTATTTTATTCAATTTTTCAAACCTTCTAAGTTTGTTAATTTAACTAAACACTCTAAAAAAAAAAAAATTTAAAAATTGACAAAAACACTCCTATCCACTCACATTTTCTAGATTCTGGCCACCACCGTCAGAAGATGGTCAAAATCTAGTATAATGGCATACTATCGGCTGGATCTGGCTTGTAGTGCACCGATTTATCATTTTTCGATTAAATCCATAGTGGATCAGGCTGAAAAAAGCCAGATCTACAACCATATCCTTGACTATCGTTGATAACCAAACATGGCGAGATCTAGCATTTTCTGGTCAGATCCACAATGGATATGGTTGGAAAAGGCCATCTCGACGCACGATCGACCAGATCCAGTCGGTCGTGCATCGATACGGCAACTCCGGCCACCCTCCGACGGTGGTGGTGGCTGCCGGTATTTAATGGGTGGGTGGGGGTATTTTTGTAATTTTAATGTTTTTATTATAGGGGTGTTTAATAAATTAACAAACTTAAGGGGGTGTTTTTGTTAATTTTTAAATTCTACATCGTTATTCCCACCCAACTTTTACTTTTTCGAAAATACTAAAACAAACGGGCTCTAAGATGTTTGAGCCAGTTTATATGTATTTCGATTAATTCTTGAAAGAGATTAGCGCAACGATCCACCGTCATAGCCTTCCACTTAAACCTTAGATCTCTTTCTTTTTGTTATACATATATATAAACCTTCCTTGGGATGAACTTTCTTGGAGGAGGAAGATAATTTATTTTATTACTTCAACATGTTAACATGCTAATTGGAAGGCATGATTAGAGGCCAGATCCAAAGAATGCAATCTACAAGGATCCACATTAAGTAAACTAATATCCAACATGATGAATGTTGAGAAATCTCTCGTCCTCTAAAAGATTTGCTGCATACATGACCATGATTTACCATCCAAATTGCCTATTCTATATTAATACAGTAAAACCTCTTTACAGTCATAATGGTGACACTAACTAATTTTATTATTATGAGGAGGTTATAACTTAATAAATGTGTAGTTAAAAAAATTTCTTATTTCATAATTCATGGTTTAGTAGTATAATATTAGGATTTTAATTCATGTTTTAATAATATTAGGGTTTCAATTCAACGTTTCAATTGCCTACTTTTGAAATGGATAGAAGATCGTGTTTTGAAACCAACAAAAATAACTGTCATTGATGGAATTGTAAATACAGTTGCTGCATGGCAACTGATGTAAAGCTACAGACAATTGACAATTGTTTTAAGCATTACAAAATTAGGACTGCCGATGTTGATGAATTGCAAGTTACAAATGAAGTAGATGAGGAGAATCAAAGAGTCATTGTAGAATTGAGTGATCAGATTCGACAAATTCACTACATTAATCGAATGAATATTAATGTCTTCCTTAATCATTCAAATGAGTAATAAGTCATGTATGCTTTAACAAAAGAAGAAATCATTTCTACAATTGAACAAGAAGAGCAAGGAAATAATTATGAGGATGATAGTACGAAAATACAAAAGGTTTCATGTCAAGAAGCTCTAAACATGCTTGAGAAGCTAAAAATGTTTTGGCTTTAATAAGAAAATGTTCATGCTAGTGAGTAATATACCCGCAAGTTAAAAGATGTAATAACAACTCTAAAGCATAAATTATTATCTCAAACAACTTCAGATAAATATTTTATTTCATCTTAAACCTTTAATGTAACATACCATATTTTTTTTTTGCAATATACAGATAATTATTACTATATGGAGGCACATTTCCTTAAGATGAGAATTAAAAAAATTATAACTTATTACAATGTAAAGTTTATTCTTATTTATAACTATCCCAAATTGGAAATATATTTTTTTATGACTATATAGAGTTTATTCCTATATAGAGTATCACTATAGAGAGGTTTTACTGTATAAGGAGTTAATTATATTAATCCTTTTGAGGTTTGATTAAATGAAAAAAATCTCTCATATGTTTTTGAAATAATAGACATTCGTTTGTCTCGTTCAATTTTAAGTGTTAAAATAAAAGGCAAAAGAGTAATTTTGTATATATTTATAAACTTGTAATAATGAAATTCTGAAGATCCACCAACAACAATGAAATTTTTTTTTATCATATTTAAGATATGTAAGGGCCAAACTAAGTTTATTGTATTTGTATTGAGAAACTCGTACAACATTCATTCAATAAATAGAACAAAAATATTATACTAATCTCATAATGGAAGAATATATATTACAATAATACTTTGGGTACTAACGGATTTTATTAACCAGTGTACTAACCTAAAGCATAGTACGGATATTATACGCATAGTACGGGTATCATATGTAATTTTAACAAAAGTTAGTACACTGGTTAGTAAAATCCGTTAGTACGCATAGCATTACCCTATATATTATAGTCGAAATCATGATATCAATTAAATTAAGCTCCGGGAGTAGGAGACTAAGACTTAGTTGGGGCTTTAGATGTGGTGCTAGTTGTGCTGTCACATGCTAGGGCATTATATACGCCTATCACCTTAGGTTTAACATTACTACATTCTGATTTAATAGATCCTTTCTTTCCGATGTAATTGAGGTCAATATTAATAAGCTCCACGCCTTCACATGGTAAACTATTACTACAGTCAAGCTTTACACCAACTGGAGTTGCAGAAGTGCCTCGAATATTTTCAAAACCAACGTTGCTAATCTTTACACGTGATGGAGCCTAAAGAATAGAAAAGAAAGCATTAAGGAAATGGATATTATCGGCTCCGTTTGTTTTGTTATTCCTATTCATATTCTCAATCCTATTCCCAAAATACTTGTTTGTTTTATTATTTGAGAAATGCTTTTTTTTTTTAATTACTTTTAAACTCCTTAAGTTTATTAATTTAATTAAACACCCCCTAGAAAAAAAAAGTTTAAAAATTAACAAAAACACCCCCACCCACCCATAGTTGCCAAATTCTGGCAACCACCGAATCTGTCACAACGGCGTAGAAACGATCGAAAATGGCTAGTAATTTGTCGATCTGGCCTTTCCCGGTCAGATCCACACTGGATCTGGCCATAAGTGACGACCAAAGAAATGGCCGTCGTTGACGGTCAACGACGCCCAAATCTGGCCTTTTCTGGCCGTCGAAGGCCAGATCTGGCCTTTTCCGGCCAGATCAGTGCTGAATCTGATCGGAAAAGGCCATATCGATGCACGACCGGCCAGATCCGACCGGTCTGCGTCGTAATGCCATTTTCCAGTGGTGGTGGCTGGAATCTGGCACTGTGGGTGGGTGGGGGTGTTTATGTTATTTTACAAAATTTTTATATATTGGGGTGTTTAGTTAAATTAGCAAACCTAGGGGGTTTTTTTTTAATTTTTAAAATTTACCTCGTAATACTCACCCTATTCAACTACCTAATATTATTCCCAAAATCCTATAAAAAATAACAAAACAAATAGACCCATCAATATCATTAGATTTGATAAAAAAAAAATAGAATAAAATAAAAAGAAAATTATACCTTTGCATTGCAATCACCATAAGGGCAATAACCTTGATCTATGATAATAGGATTACTGACATTAACCATCGTAATGTCCTCGAAATGCATGTTGGACGCAGAGTTTGCAAAAGAAGCTGGCCAAGTTTTGATTCTCAAGCCATTGTCAGTATTAGTGAGCTTACAACCCTTAACACTAATTCCAACTACAGGTTCTTCATTCTCATACTTTCCTAGGCTTCCAACACTGATGCCATGTCCAGGTCCGCATGAAACTCTGGTAATTGATACATTTTGGCTACCATCACCAATAGAAATACAATCATCTCCTGTTCCAATTTTCGAATCTGTAATTTTAATTCCTCTAGATCTTCCGATGTGTATTCCATCGGTGTTTTTGCTATCAGCAGGTGCAGTGACAGTTAAGTGACGGATAGTAAAGTTCTTACAAAGTAAGAGGTTAACATGAAATTGTTTGCTGTTTAAGGAAGTTACATCTTGGACCAAACCATTGGTAATGGAGTCGAACCTTAAATTCTGTTCATAGAATTAAAATAAAATTTTTGTTAGTGTCATACAAATGAAATACTTTTAATTAGTGGTGAAGGATATGTATGATTGGATAATAAACTTACAATAGCAAGTTGCTTGCAGTTGTTATTATCACAGGATCCCCAAGCTGCAGCTCCCTGGCCATCAAAAATTCCACCACCGGACAATGTAAAGCCTTTAATTTGTTGGAAAGCAATCCAACCACCATCCTTTGTCATTTCACCAACTCCTGATAGGGCCTTGAGGGTACCTTGAACTCGAACCTCAATAGCAGCTTTGCAAGGACCAGCTAAAGTCACTGGACTTAACAAGAATGTTCCCGATGGAATCAACACTTTGCTTGGGCTAGTTGATGCACATGCCTTTTTCCATGTACTCATTAAAGCCTAAGACAAGAAACATAACTTGATTAAAATGACCAAAAAAAAAAAAATAAAAAAAATTAACGAAATCGAAATCCTTATGCAAATGTATGATGTTCATTACAGTAGAGCATTACCGAGTTAATATCAGATCCACCAGCTTTGGCACCATATTTCGTCACATCAAAAATTGATTGAGCTCTAGTCGATGATACAAAGAAACAAATAAGAATGTAATTTTTATCATTTTATCCATTTTCTTATATTGTTCGTCAGGCTTTTGTTATTGTCTTGAAGGAATATTATGAAATCATAGTTCATACCATTTTATACTGCAATGAAGGAAGCTCATGCCTCTAACTTATACCAAACTTTAGCCAAATTTATCTTCTGTTTACTAATGTTATATTAATAGGTTATACTACTTTTCAGTTATTATTTCTTTAATGGTTTTCATTTACGTTAGTCCAACGAAGGATTATGAAATTTAATTGGTACTTTAAAATTGAGGTGCTCTATTCTATTTAGATCCTAACAAAATGAGGATAAATATAAAGAAATATTATTAAAATTTTATGGGTTTTTCTAATATTCTATTTGATAGTTTACATCGATCTATAAATTATATTATGAAACAGGTTATACTAACTAGGTAGAAGAGCCAGCTGTGGCATATTGATATTTGTTCCTACTAATTGTACGATGAATTAGGTTTGCAAAAAGAGTAGACTTTGTTTATTTTCTGTTACATTACATCCTCTTCTGTACGACGAGTTTTGTCCTGAACAAATAAAAGTTTGTGATTGATTTAATATTCAATCCCTTCAGCCAACACTGTATTGATTAATTCTAATTAGGTGACTTAACCAGTTCCATTATAATAGCTTTGTACTGAAGCCATAGCTGATCAACTGTCTTCCCCATGACCCCATCAACTCAGTGAAGAAGAAGTCACTGTACTCACTCTCTTTTCTGTTAAGTTCTGCAACAACACCATTTCTCAGGCCATTAAGGTAGTCAGAAACTTGGCTGTAACATCATACCCTTATCCCACCCCTCACCCTGGCCAGGCTGCACCCAATGACCGGCGCGTAGTTGGCTTTTAACCCAGAAAATCTGCAATCCCTTCGATCAGTCCTCCAGGAGCCTCTCCGTTTCCATGCCACTGCCATATGTGTCATTTCATGATAAAGTACCCCGGTGATCTCTCTTTTCATATCTCCAGAATAGTTTCCGATATAATCCACGTTGACATGAATTTCATTGTCGATGATATGCACTAACCGTCCATGCTGTCGACTAATAGGTGCGTTGGTTACATTCTTCCTGTCAGTTGCGTTGTATTGTTGGAGAGTGTCCAGATAAAATCTGTGGCGGATGCTAGTGTTTGCTTGGTGTAGTTCTCTACGATTTCGAAGTTGAAGCGGACGCTGCCGGTGGTTGTGGTGGCGGTGTTGTTGAGAACGTAGCTGACTGCATCTGCATGGCTTCCTTCTTCTTGCTTCTGCAAGAGTTTAATCTAAGTTATGTTTTAAAGGTGAAGTTTTGAGCAAGAAATGTTTGTACTCTACGGTTTATATAAAATTAGAAATCAATAAGCCAAAAAGACCTGGATTTTTCTTGATTTGAGCTATTAGATTGTAGTGGAATCAAGTTGGTTTACTTCATCATCATTCTTCTTCTTCTTCACTAATCTCCAATTGTATACGTAAAATTCTAATATCAACTTCCTGGAATAGTACACATGGCTTTCTCACCAGAGAAAGAAACCTTGGCTACACATATGTGCAAATATTATAAACTACAACCATATCAAACAAAAGAAAAGATTACAGCCTTTCAAGCGCAAGGACAACGCAAAAAGGCAAACAAGAGTAAACCGCCCACATTAGCAGGCTGGCATATTTGGGTCTTCAGTATTTTCTGATAATAATTATACACGGAGATGGGGATACAGATAAAATATGGTGAAACTACTAAATACTTATTCAACTGAAATATTAAATTCACTATTACCGGAAAAACTGAAGTCTGAGAAAACGTGTAATCTACCACTCCCAAAACTTTCTGTGTAATTTTTATGAGTTGAGGAAGTCTAAAAGCTCATTCATTGAATTGTAGGAAGACCACCCTTTGGGATATATACTAAGTTCTATTGTTCTTTAAACTTTTCACTCTCTGCCTCATCTCTTCCCCTTCTTTCCTACCATTTGCCTTCTTAAAGTTTTCTTTATCTCTTCCCTGTCCTATTTGTTACCCAATTCCAAGCCTATTCTCGATACATGACTACATGCCTTGCATTCACCTTTGATCTCCAGAACATGGTCTATAAATCATTGGACCCCTTCCATATACTTTCCAGACCGAATTCCAACAGTGGCTCCAGAATCCTCCAATTGCACTGTGTGCTAATAACAGTACTTTTGGGTTGGCCATTTCACAATTGCACCCATTTTCTCCCAACAGTAAACAAAACTTGAGATTGCCAAAATGTAGTTCTCTTGTGATCCCCGTTTTTTTAATCCAATAGATATTACATATTCTTTGTATTTTTATCTTTATGGAAGGGATTCTGTTAGTTTTTAAAGTTTTATTGAATGAAATTGCAAGAAAAGGAAGCTGCTGGGTTTTCATGTCACAAGGGGCAAAAATCTGGAGGTTTTTGTAAGAAAACGATGATGTGGCAGGGTTATACTAGAATTAAGAAGAATTTGGGGGCTTTGTAAATAAATAAATAATTTGTTTTATATAAATTTGGCTGCTCGCCCAAATAAGAAGAAAGTTGAGAGAGAAAAACTGAGAAGAAGAGATGGGGAGAGAAGGGAGAAGAAGAAGAGAGGAGAGAAGAAGAGAAGAAAAAAGAAAAAGAAAAGAGAAGAGAAGAAGATTGAGTTCGGCCAAGAGATAGAGTGAGAATGAAGTGAAGCAAAAATGAGGATGAGAAATGTTGGAACAGGTCACTCTATTTTGGTTTCGGTTGTGGAGGAAGAAAGTGCTTGAGGTTGCTTCCATTTTCGGATGAGCTAAAATGGTGAGTGGATCTAAACTGTTTTCCTTAAAAACTTAAGCTTATGCCCTTGCATGTTGATTTCCTTTTACTACCGTCCATTTTTTTTTTGCAAAAAATCCTTACAAGCATGATGTTTGTGATTCGAATGTAGAACTTGCATAAATATGTTTTTAGTGAAATGATTTCTATGTTTGTGCATATGCCTTAACTCCAAATTTTTTCAGCTTTGATATGGTTATTCTCTTCTGTAAACTATCTTTGGCATGCATGTAATGATGTTATATATCATGAAATTTGGAAGTAAGTGTGGACATGCATGTATAAATAATTATGCCTATACCAAATGTTGTTGAATGGAAAGCAGATTTTGTGTTTCCGCCTGTTTGATTGTGGTGATGATGGAGAATTCCAGCTAATTTTGGTAGGGGCTGATTTGTTTGGAAATTAATTGGTGGTAGTAATGGTTGGAATGAAGGGTATGGAAATTATGGATTTTTATATTTGATTAATTTTGACAAGCATATGTGCATTTTTATGCATATTCACAATGTTTGGGATAGAAAAGAAATTATAGGAGTAGTATGTTGGATATGGTGGCTGAATTTGTTGTTGACTGAAATTGGAGATTTAATGCAATAGTTTTATAGGGTAAAGCATACATGTTGATCCTAAAGAACCAGAGTGATTAAAGTTGTTTTTGTTATAAAAAGTTATGATGTGAAATTCTGACAGCCTGAACTTCTGAAAATTTTATATAGTTTCGGGTCTGCAAATGAGGCCAAATTTCAGATATTTGTTTTAGACTTTAGAGTTGTTTGAAAATTGATTTCACCCCAAAATTCGAATTATTGGAATTTTTTTATGAATTTTGAATTCTGCTATGAAATTCTGGAATTTCATGTTTTGTAGAGCATGCATTTTTAAGAACTGAATAATCACTTATACTTATCCAAATGAGTGATTTTAAATTCTGGTAAATCCTATATGTGTTCTAGTTTATTTTGGAGAGTTTCACGAGGTTTTAGATTAAGGCTGAATTGTTATGAATTTTACAAGTCAGTAACCTCAATTCTGAAAACAGTTGACAGATTTAAATGAGTTGAAAGAAAATTGTGTTTTAAATAGTTTTGATTCTGAATGACTTGAAAATATTACTGGATCAACTATATTTGTCTAGAATGCCCCATTGAAATTATAGCTTGATTTGTTGAGTGGATTAAACCAAATCTTCTTCCAAAGCTTAAATCCATGTTTGTATGTTGGATTTTATTTTAAATGTTTTGATAAGTTTGGTATATAGAATTTATAGTATTCATGCTATATGAATAAATGTTGCCGTTGAGAGTAGAGAACTGTTTGAATGTATAACGGTTGAGGTTCGTGATGTTGGTAAATGGTTCTTGGTTTAAAAAAAAAAAAAAAAAAAAAAAAAAAAAAAAAGAGAGAGAAGGGTGCTTTCTGTCAGTTTTGAAAGTATGTTTTAAAACTTGCTTCTACCCCCATTTTGCATGGAATTTCATACGTTTTTGGCATGATTTGCTTTTTTATAAATGTGGTATATATCTTTGATTAGTGTCGGACACATATGCTATGGTATGTGATGTGAAAAGTAATTTTTAATCTGGGTAAACGTCAGTTTGAAACATGTTTGGAAATTTCCAATTTCACTCACCCTTGGATGTGATTTTTGAATATTATGTCATATATGTATGATTTATAGGCACATACGTAATATACTCTTGACTTACATGTTACTGAGATTATGCAATGGTATGTTGTGTGCTAAAACCACCATACGAAGTACCCATCCCCCAGAGATACAAATTTTTGGCTCTGCTCGAGCGATGCAGATTCCATGGGTATGACAATTCCAGATTTTGGCTCTGCGCATGGTATTGAGATATTTAGTGCTCTGCGTAGGCGTTGAGCTTGTCCCCAAGTATTGAGATGTTTTCTTTTGGCTCTGCCCACGTGATGATAGATCTTGCCGGGTATTGAGATGTATTTCCCAGCTCTGCCTGTATGGGATGCCACCAGGTTCGAGAATTTTCCCCAAGGTACTAGTTGTGGTGAGAGTTTTCTGTTATAAACATCAGAATCGGTTTTAGAGCTCTCAAAAATCACATTCAGTTTTTAGCATCTGTTATGAGCGATAACCTCAATATGAGTTTTAAGATATTAAGAGACCTTCAGTATTAGCCACAGTTTGAATAATATTCACTTATAGTTTTCAATATCAGTAAAAGCTACAGATCCAGTTTAAAGTTTAGTTATAGCATAAGTTTACAGTATTCCAAAATCAGTTATCAGTGCATAGTTTCAGATAAAATTAGTTTTCATTTTATATCATCACAATAGCTACCACCATATCATGTTGATGGACATGTTTGTTTTTAATACTTCATAAGAACCCATTACATGTCATAACTTTTGTTTGATGAATATTTGGCAAACTTCTCCTTCCCCCCGCACTCACTGGTATTTTAGCTCACCCCTTTCAAAAAAGGTTTTCCTCCTCCCTAGGTTTACAGGGAGATAGTGCCAAGCATAAGCTCAAAGGTTGGCCACCGTTGACATCTTTTTTATGTGGGTTTTACCATTTATGTCGTATTGATTTTTGGACTTTCGTTCCAAAACCTCATGTTCCCATCATATTTCTTTTTTTTATGTTTCGGAATGTGTGTGTATAAGTGGAAACCTGATACCACAGTTTCCCTAAATCTTTCTTTTGTAAAACGAAAGATGTACTTTTTTTTTTTTTGAGATGTTGGAAGAATGAAATACTATGATGTTATTCGAAAAGTAAGCTCTTTAAACAGGTTTCACATTTTTTCTACATGGCACATCTCGGGTATCCAAATTTGTGAGAGTGCCCAAATCCTACGGGATGGAAATTTCGAAAACGGATCGTGTCAACTTGGTATCACAATATATATATATATATTCTTTGTGATTTTATCTTTATGGAAGGGGGATTTCTGTTAGTTTTTAAAAGTTATATTGAATGAAATGCAAGAAAAGGAAGTTTGCTGGGTTTGGATGTAACAAGGCAAAATTTGGAGTTTTTGCAAGAAAAAGATGATGTGTAGGGTTATCTAGAATTAAGAGAATTTGGGGGCTGTTGTAAAAAAAAAACAAAAAAAGCGTACATCTTTCGTTTTACAAAAGAAAGATTTAGGGAAACTTGTGGTATCAAGGTTTTCCTTATACAACACATTTCGAAACATAACAAAAGGAAATAAATGATGGGAAACATGAGGTTTTGAAACAAAGTCCACAAATACAATACGACTAAATGTAAACACACATAAAAAGATGTCGATGTGTGCTACAACCTTGAGCTATGACGCACTGCTCGGCACTATCTCCCTGTAAACTTGGGGGGAGAAAACATTTTTTGAAAAGGGGTGAGCTAAAATACCAGTGAGTGGGGGGAAGGGGAAGTTTGCAAAACATTTGTCAAACAAAAGTTATGGCATGCAATGGTTCTTATAAATACTGAAAACAACATGATTCCATGACATAGAAATGGTGGTAGCTATTGTGATGACAAAATTGAAAACTGATTTTTCTGAAACTATGCACTGATGACTGATTTTAGAATACTGTAAACTTTATCTGATAACTGAACTTTAAACTGGATACGTAGCTTTTATTGATACTGAAAACTATAAGCTGAATATCTTATTCGAAACTGAGCTAATACTGAAGGCTCTCCTAATATTCATAAACTCATATTGAGGCTATCGCTCATAGTAGATGTTAAAACTGATGTTGATTTTAGCATTCTAAAACCGATTCTGATGTTAATACAGAAAACTCTCACCACAACTAGTACCTTGGAAAAAAATCTCGATACCTGGTGGGCATCCCCCACACAGCAAGCTGGGAAATACATCTCAATACCCGGCAAGATCTATCATCGCGCGGGCAGAGTCAAAAGAAAACCATCTCAATACCTGCAAACAAGCTCAACGCCTAGGCAAGCACTAAATATCTCAATACGCATGCGCAGAGCCAAAATTTGGAATTGTCATACTCGACGGAATCCTGCATCGCTCGGGCAGAACCAAAAATCTGTATCTCTGGGGGATGGTACTTCGTAGGGTGGTTTTTAGCACCACAACATACTCAGTCATAACTCAAATAACATGTAAGTCAAGAGTATATTACGTTGTGCTTTATAAATCACATATATGACATAATTTCAAATCACATCCAGGGTGAAATTGGAATTTCCAAACATTTTCAAAAATGAAAGTTAACCCGATTAAAAATTACTTTTAACATCACATTACCATAGCTATGTCTGACCTAATCATAAGATATATACCACATTTCATATAAAGCAAATCATGCCAAAACGTATGAAATTCCATGCAAAATGGGGTAGAATGCAAGTTTAACAACATACTTTCAAAACTGAAGAATGCACCCCTTCTCTATCTTTTTTTTTTTTTTAAACCAAGAAAACCATTCCAACCATCACGAACCTCAACTCGTTACATTCAACCAATTCTTTACTCTCAACGGCAACATTTTTATTCATATAGCTGAATACATATAAATTCTATATACCAAACTCATCAAAACAGTTAAAATAAAATCACAAGTTACATACAAACTGGATTTAAGCTTTTGAAGAAATTTGGTTTAATCCACTCACCAAATCAACTATAATTTCAATGGGGCATTCTAGAACAATAATTGTTGATCCAGAATTTTTCAAGTCATTTCAGAATCAATACACTATTTAAACACAATTTTCTTCAACTCATTTAAATTTGTCAACTGTTTTCAGAATTGAGGTTACTGACTTGTAAAATCATAACAATTCAGCCCTTATCTAACCTCATGAAACTCTCCAATTAAACTAGACACATATTGATTCACCCGAATTTAAAATCACTCAATTTGGATAGTATAAGTGCATTATTTCGGTTCTTAAAAATGCATGCTCTACAGAAAACATGAAATTCCAGAATTTCTAGCAGAATTTCAAAATTCGTAAAAAAATCCAATACTTCGAATTTTGGGGTGAAATCATTTTCAAACAATCTCTAATAAGTCTAAACAAAATATCTGAAATTGCTTCATTTGCCGACCCGAAAACATTAAATTTCAGAAGTTCAGGCTGTCAGAATTTCACAGCATAACTTTTTATAACAAAAAACATACTTTAATCACTCTTGGTTTTTAGGATCACATATATCTCTATCCATATAAAACTATTGCATTAAATCTCCAATTTCAGTCAACAACAAATTCATCCACCATATCCAACATACTACTTCCTATAATTTCTTTTCTATCACAAACATTGTGAATATGCATAAAAAGCAACACATGGTTTGTCAAAATAATCATATATATAAAACCATAATTTCGCATACCCTTCATTCCAACCATTACTACCACCAATTAATTTCCAAACAACACCAGCCCTACCAAAATTAGCTGGAATTTTCTCAATCATCAACCAAATCAAACAGGCGGAAACACAAAATTCTGCTTTCCATTCAACCTTTGGTATAGGCATATTATTATACATGCATGTCCACACTTGCTTCCAAATTTCATGATATATAACATCATTCACATGCATGCCAAAGATGTTTTACAGAAGATGAATATAACCATATCAAGCTGAAATAAATTCGATTAGGCATTTATGCACAAACATGAAATCATTTCACTAAAAACATGATTTTATGCAAAGTTCTACTATTCCACCTCACAAACCTCATGCTTGTAAGGATTTTGCGAAAAAAAATGGACGGTAGTAAAGGAAATCAACATGCAAGGGCATAAGCTAAGTTTTTAAGGAAACAGTTTAATCCACTCACCATTTTAGCCAATCCGAAAATTGGAAGCAACCTCAAGCACTTTCTTCCTCCACAACCGAAACCAAAATAGAGTGACCTGTTCCAACATTTCTCATCCTCCATTTTGCTTCACTTTCATTCTCACTCTATCTCTTGCCGAACGTCGTCTTTCTCTCTTCTCTTCTCTTTTTCTTTTCTTCTTCTTCCTTCTACTTCTCCTCCTCTCTTCTCTCTCCTTTCTTCCCCCTCTCTTCTCTGTTTTTCTCTCTCAACTTTCTTCTTCTTCGTTTGGGCCAACGCCCAATTTATATAAACAAATTTATTTATTTATTTATTTTTTTACAACACCCCAATTCTCTTAATTCTATTAAACCCTGCCACACATCTTTTTCTTACAAAACCTCCGATGTTTGCCCTTATTACATACAAACCCAACAGCTTCTTTTCTTGCAATTTCGGTCCCAATAAAACTTTTAAAACTACAGAAATCCCCTTCCATAAAGATAAAATCACAAGAATATGTAATATTATAGGATTAAAAAAAGGGGGTTTCACATCTCTATTGTCATTTAGGAGAAATGATTGATAGCTAGATATGTGAAATTGGGATGACAAAACAGTATTTTCATATGAATCAACCGTCATTTTAGACGAAGAATATTGTTCAGAAGTCATTTCGAAACAAAAACTTGAGACGTATTTTTTTTGGCAGAGAGAAAGTGCAAGAAAACTGTGGAAACAGTGTTTGTTGCTGGAAAAAAATAAAAGAACTGAGCTTTTAACTGACGTTTGTAAAAAATAGCTCTAACAGCATGATAACAAAGCAAACTTTATAACAAATGAAAAATTTGTTAAAATTACATTAAGTTGAGTAGCTTAGTAACCGTGCTCGCTGACATTCTTTTCAGTAGTATCAGTAGAAAACTGCTAATCTTCAAGAGCTTTTATATACATTCATGGTAGTACTTTTATTTGATAGTATCAACATATGGTGCTGGAGGAATTAATCAGTGCTGTCAACAGTAGAATATATCAATTCCAATAGAAACAAGATGACAAAGTTCAATTACATCTCTATGTCATTATCCTCTTGAATTTTTCTACTATGTTCTTAAGCGACTATAAGAAAATCTTAATCCTAAGTGACTAATTAAGGAGTTTTCTAAATACATAGCATGAATGATAGGTACTGCAAATTTATATTTTTTCCATAATGACCGCTTGGTTAACAGTGGTTGGATGTCTATCGATGGACTTATTTGTCAGTAGCTTTGTTGAAGTAGAAGCAACAGCCCAAGCCTCTAATACTTCGTCTCTTTCATACTCATCCTCTTGAAAATTCAGCGGAATATTACCTGTTGAAGACGGGGGGGGGGGGGAATTCTTTCCAAATCCGTTGCTACTTCTTTGATTGTAGGCCTTCTCTTTGCATTCATATTTAAGCACCTTTTCGCGAGATTAGCCATACACATGATCTCCTCTTTCCTGCCTAACTTTAGTACTTGAGCATCAAGTACTTGAGCATCAACAAT